AGTATTTCCTCAGAAAATACTGTACTGTACTTGTACAGTATTTACTTGTACAGAATATAACAGAGAATAAACTGCCCAAATACCCTTAAACAAAGGAAAAGTACGTCCTTTATGAAGGCATAGAGCCACTACATGAAAATGAAAATTAATGAATACACTGTGTACAGTAATTTACCTGATAAGACAGACCTCAGAAAAATACTTTATGAGAGCTTTTATACTTTTATAAAGCTGTCTATAATGAAAATTAATTAACTAAGGATTTTTTCGCCCTGCCAAGGTGTGGACCAGTTATCCGGAGTGCTAAGTTATCGAGGGACGAGTTTTCGAGGTTCTACTGTATTACCGATATGTCATCGAAAAGAAAACGTGTTGTATTATCATTAAAAGACAAATTAAAGTATTTGTTTCGATTATCCGGATTTTTCCTTATCCGGACTACCTTCATCCCCAATTAGTCTGGATAATCGAGGTTCTACTGTACTAAGATTACATACAAGAGGCCAAACACGGTATATGGACTACTCCACAGTGGCAAAGACAAGATAAATAGAAAGCAAGCACCGGGTGTTTACATGGTCCCGCTCTGGGATGACAGGTTTCAAAGGGAATTAGTTTATATTGGGTCTACAAAACACTCATTGAATAAAAGATTGCAGGAACACAATTATGATATTGTTAATAAAAGGCACACCACCGCCCTTTCGACATATGCGACTGAACCCGGCATAAGAGCTGACCTGCATGAGGCCAAACTGATTAAACTTTCTCACCGTGAAGAACACTTACGAAACCTTGAGGCACTTGAAATTTACAAGGCCGGGTTATGCATCAATTGCATTAAATAATCGGGCTATAACTTCACTAATTTAATGATTAATACTAAATAATTAGCTACTAGAGATAGATGTTATGCACCATCTCTTAACTAAATTAATAATTTATTATATAATTTAGAATCATCTGGAAGAAAAGAACTGACCGGGGCTGGGCTTAAACCTGCACTTCCACTTGCCAGTTGTGCCATCCCAACCCCTAGCTAGCCTTCACTTCCAGATATATTTAAATTTAGATATAACCTTACTAAGTTAATCACGGTGCTGGCTGGCACAACTCCTATGCTCACGGCCTAAAAACTCTACCATAAGTACCAGCACTCAGTCAGCTGACAGTTTACCTGGTGAGGTGTGTGTATATATATATATCAAACATTGCAAAACTCGATATGTATATAGAAGCATAATAATTTATTTTAAACATATACTAGTTTTAATTAACATTTAATTATTAAATAATAGCATTATTACAGCCTAATCTGGCAGTTTGGCATTTTAAACATTTCTCTCAAGCCATGAAGAAAGTAATTTTTAGTAGAGTAATTTAATGAAACAATTTAAAGTGATATATTTAAGAGAAACATTGAAAATAGATGGAAAATAATATCAATGAAAGTCTTAATATACTTTCAAAATATTCGAATGTCATTAGGTTTTATGTCAGAAGTGATAGAATAAATTACTTTTATTCAGGTGAAGTCAGTTGTAGCCATTCGTGTGTTTTTAATCATTAAATTGGTTTATTAATTTTCCTTTCCCAAACTGGATGTAATAGAATGCAAAGTTAAATGTGTTGTCTTTTTGGTGCAGATCAGTCCATAACATCATCACGGATTTGTTTGGTGAAATGAAATTTTATGATCATTTGGAAGAAATTTATGGACTTCTGTAAATCTTTCTATAAAATATAATCAAACCAGTTTGTAAAAAAGGGTATAAATAAAATAAAAGATAAATTTTCTGAAGAACAATTTGAACAAAGAACAAAAAAGGCAAAACTAAGCATGTCTATAAAAAGCTGTAAATAAAAAGAATTTTACTTTTATTTATAAGATTTTTGCATCATTGATAGCATTAATAGATTTAAAAATACAAGGCTTAATACAAAATACTTACTTAACCATTTATTGATTGAATTGTGAAATAGGGTCACATTTTTAGTAGTAAATAAGTAAATAGGTTAAAGTGGCAAGTTTTTATAGCAAGTTTACAATTAAATTTGTGAATAATGCTTAACATAGATTGTTGCATTTGACTTAAAAATAAACCAGACCCGGTACTATTTCACTAATTTAAATTGAATTATCAAATTGATAAGTTCATAATGATAACATTTATATTATAAATATATAGTTGATCTTATTCAGTGTTTTCTGATAATTAATAATATAGCACCATGATTTGCAAGAATTACATGTTTGGATATTGTTTGCAATTTCTTTTACAGATAAATTAGTATTTAAATCATTATTTTCTCTGCATGATAGATTATTTTTGATGATTATAAATGCTGTAAATAATAAAATATAATAAATTTATATAAAAAATTAAATGTATTTTATTCTTTTTTCTAGATCTTTGTATACAATCAAGTACTAAAAGTTTGAATGAACAATTTTTCTGAATCTCAATTGAATATTTTGCTCGTCAATGTTTTTGGAATAAAAAATGTTAGAAAACATTAAATGGATTTATCTTTATGCAGCAATTTTTATTTTGCTACCATTTGTTGTTCATATATTAGCAGGTAAATTTTATTTATTATTATTATTATATGTTATTTTTATTAAATTTATTTAAATATATTGAATTAAATATGTTCTTATAAAAACAACATTCATTAATAAAGAAGTCTCAAACTTGAACATTTAATGTATTAAACGTGTTTTGAGGATCTTTTCCTTGATAAATACAGTAATACCTCGACTTATGCTACCCCAACTTACGCAAACCCGGAGTTACGCGATTTTCAAATCTCGTCGATTCGTCTTTTGTTTGAGCACCACGCAACTCTTGATTACTCATTCCCCCCACACTATTGTTCAGCTTACACGTTCGGACGTGTCGTGCGGAATTGACACATAGCTACAATTTATTTTGTGTTATTTATTTCTGTATTTGTTATATCTATGGAGACTCGAGAGACTCTATGTGATGATTTTTTGTAACAATGAACAATGATATAAGATTAATGAGAACATTTATTAGCTTATATAGACCCGACTTGGATTTTACACACATTGAGAAATTATACCCCGACTTACGTGAATTCGACTTACGTGGTTATTGCTCGGTCCCACCTATCGCGTAAGTTCGGGGTATTACTGTACTATCAATGAATACTTAAAATTTAAAAATTCAAAAATCTTGAACGATTTAGTGACTGTTCTCATTAAAATATTGTTGAGTGATAATTTTATGTAATTAAATTTATTAATAGAAAGGTTTTTCAAGATAAATAATTTTTTATTAATAAAATGAATAAATAAACTGTTAATAATTTTTTAAACTGAATATATAAACAAATACAAAAACACTAAAATATTAATAAGTACTTGAATATTTTAATCAAAATTAGATGTTTTTCAAGACATTTTGTTTCATCATCAGATCGCAATATTGGTTGTCGTGATCTGATGATGAGGCAGAATGTCTTGAAAAAACATTTAATCTTAATTAAAATATTCAAGTACTTATTAATATTTTAGTGTTTTTGTATTTGTTTGATTAGAATTGTATAGCTCTAAACTGAATAGAGATTAAGTTCAAGTTTTCTTGTGCTGTTTGATTGTATTGGTCTTGTATTGCAGGTCAAACTCATCTATTGTAGACACAAATACATCTGGCCAATTGTATAGTTTTAATGTGCTGATGCTTTGCATTAATTAATTAATCATTAAGTTTAAATTTTGGTTTACATTATATAAAGTAATTTATTTTTAATGTACAGTAGAGCATCGATTATCTGACTCAATTAGGGACTGGGGTTGGTCGGATAACTGAAAAAACGGATAACTGAAAAGTATGAAAAAATACATTATTAGCATAGTATATTAGTATATCTCATGTAATTAGTATATCGCTATTAACCTACTTCACGTTGAATTTTCATCGATGTTAAGCCTAACAAAATTTTTTAAAAAATAATAATCGTCGCTATTGTATCGTTAAAAATTATTTTAAAATTATTTTATTACTCACGAAACAAATAACCACTCATAGTTAGAAAATTAAACCTCGTTTAAATACTGGCCTCTGTTTCACGGTCAAGCCAGTGTTACCAGCTAAAACACACAAAAAATTTAACAAAAATAATATTAAAATAGCCAAGACATAGCCAAATATTGTAGTGCCACATCACTAGCAGACATTTGAAATTTGCCAACTAGAAACCGTCAGTTAACCGATGTGACGATTGATCGGGGGTGGATAATCGATGCTCTACTGTATTTTGTTTTTTAAAATAAGAAATAATATTACGTTAATTCTGAATAACTGCAATGTAGCTCAGTTTTTCTGCAATTATTATCATAATTTTTTGCATACAACTTGTGGGTTATCTGAATCAAAGTAAACTTGAAAATCAGCACAGAATACACAGTGATGCAGATTACGTGAAGATTTTTCTCCATTCTAGCAATTTTTTGCCATTATGGGTTAACTACTGGAAATTATGGTATACTTTACTCTTTGAACAGTGATCCCATTAAAATGCAGTAAATTAGTGTTATGGTCAAGTTTGAATTAAGTTTTATAAATTAGAAACAATGCCTTAACATACAATGGCGCAGGATTAATAGTGTGTGTTATGACATTGTTCTTTAATATTTTATTTGCAGACATATTCCATTAAAGATATACATACATACATCTCGGGCAAAAAATTAAAATCTTGTAGAATTTATGAAATTTGTTTTAATTTTAAATATTAATTTTTGAAATTAAAATTAATAAAATTTTTCTAATTAAATTTATAAAATTTCAGTCGATTATATCAGTTATTTATTTTTTTAAAATATAATTTTATTTTATTTATTTATTTATTTAGAAAGTGAAACTGTTGATATTCAGTGTCCAAATTTTGAGGAATTAAAAATACATAAGCATGTTACTCCTTGGGGTAATACGACTGCCGGTCACTTCACCGAAGTCAAAGAAGCAAATACTTTGACGTCTTGCACTATGGAATGTTGTGTTGAAGATACCTGTAATGTTGTATTTTTCTTTAATGGAACATGTTTTTTAATAGAATGTAATAGCAAACAGGATTGTCAGCCATTGAAAAGAAGCGGAACAAAATTTTCAGAGTCTTATATGGTTATAGTAAGATCATCAAGTATGTTACTTTTTTCCATGTTGAATATCAGTTTTTCTTTATATTTTACTATTAATTTAAATTTAAATACTTTTTTAATAATTAATAATTATAGTTAGATAGTAGCATTTATAGTTATGAAAATTGATATAGTAACAATTCAAATCAAAAAATCTTTATAATCCAGTAATAATATAATGAACAAACACATTCAACCATCTTAAATGGCAGTTTTTAGGACCTAGAACATAATTTAAAGCAGTTTATAGGTGTTTGATAGAACAAAGATAAACATTCGAACATTAACATAAATATGAAAATTAACAACAATTCAACAGAATAACAAGGATAAAAAAAGAAGTAAATGTAGAAATTAACTAAGTATGGCAAATGATCAATGTCATTCTATTTTATTATTCTTTCGAACTGGTTAGGAAGTGAAAATAAGATGGAAGTCTGAGTAGTATAACTGGTATTGCAACTGCACTGAAGCAAGATTTGTAGATTGGAGTCCCCCTCCAGATTGACCTTTTCTTCCAGAATATTCTAAATTAAGTTGTTTTTAATTAATAATTACATTTAATGTGAGATGGTGTCTTAACTACCTCTCTCTAGTCCAAATTACTCTGTATCTTAGTTGTCCTTGTTATATCCCAGTAAGAATTGGACTGTCTTGTTTAATTATTAACTATTTAAAATTTTTTCATTAAATTATTACTATTTAAAATTTGAGATTTTTTGTTTTGAATTGTTTGAAATTTATCTGGTTGAGTTGATTTCTTTTGTATTAGACAGATTTAATATAGTAATTGCATTAAGTATGACATATTGATGAATGATATAGGTTAATAAAACACCAAATTAAAATATATGGAGAGAGCTATTAACAATGTTATATTTAGTACATATAATTTAGAAATATATAAATGCACACAGATTATTTGTGTGTAAACTTAAAAATTATAGCAGTTTTTATATACAGTAGAATTTCAATTATCTCAGGTAATGTGGATTGATGCTACCTCAGATAAACTAAAAGTTGAATAAAACAGACAGCCACAGAAATTTCATGTTATAAATTACAAATATAAGAAATTTATATGATACATTAATTTAAAGGCTTTTTTATGTTTTATCTAATTTAATCGTGTAAAGAACAATAATTTTTACAACAGTTATTATACAGAAAATACAGACAATAAGAATAGAAATGTGTACTATCTTAATTACATTTTAATATGAAATTTCTGTTTCACATTGAAATTAAATGATAAAATGTAAGAGAAACAAATCACATGCTATCATTTTAAGCTTTCTTTTATGAATTACAATAGGAGAAAAGTAGTTTATTCACTTACAAGTTCCTCAGTTTATCAGAATTATATTGAATATTGAAATTATCTTTAAACTTAAAGCTTAAAATTGATATATTGACTATTTTAAGAGATGTTAATGGCTAGTTTTACAAAGTCATTCACTAATTACTTTAGGCAATAAATAAAAAATAGGAATATTATATAACACAAACATTTATAAACTAGACTGGTTGTAATTTTCATAAATATTGCAAAAACTTATTCAATAAAGTATTAAAATATTCATTTATGAAACTTTAAAAATTTAAATGTCAAAATTTATGAAGTAAAATATTTAATTTATTAAATAAATTTTAGTTTAGGTACATTAATAAATTTTATTAATAATTTAGAAATAATTAATTTATAATTAAGAAATTTAACCTTTTTACAGTCACTTTACAATATTTTGTCACCTTAGAGTTGTGTGAAAATCAGAACTTGATATATTGTCAACATATAANGGGGGAGAGAGACAGGATTAAGGCTTACTGTGAAAAACTTGGCTTCTATTATACTATTTTAGATGCGGGTTTTTGCGTTTTTGATTGCGTTTTAATAGAGTACGTCAACAGAATGTACACTAAGAAGGGATTTTTCGATATTCCTCCTGCGGGGGAGAGGGACAGGATTAAGGCTTACGGTAAAGAACTCTGCTTCTATTTATACTATTTTAGATGCAGTTTTTTGCGTTTTTGATTGCGTTTTAATAGAGCACGTCAACAGAATGTACACTAAGAAGAAATTTTTCGAAAAATTTTCCCCCCACGGGGGAAGTGTTATACATTTACAATAGATACATTTTGAGCCACAACAACGCGTGGCAGGGTCTGCTAGTATATATATATATCATAACTTTCGTATAGTTTTGTTTATTTGTGATTTATTTAAAAAAGAAAACACGTGAATTTTTTTCGTTATTTTTTAATATTATTTTACTTTTTTCTTAAAGTTCTGTTTACTGCTAAATTGACAAGTCCTACACATATATTTGGATTTATATAATATATTTTATAATTCTATTTATTTATAATTTTCTTAAAGAAAACATGTGTAATCCTTATTATATTTGTCAACTTGGACATAAATTATTAATAGGACTGTTAAACTGGTGTTAGGTATTAATGCAAAATTGAGTAAAAGTTCTTAAAGAAAACAGAATTTCTTTAGGAGGCTCAATAAAGAAATTCTGTTTTCTTTAAGAACTTATACTCAATTTTGCATTAATACCTAACACCAGTTTAACAATCCTATTAATAATTTGTGTCCAAGTTGACAAATATAATAAGAATTGAAATAAGGACAATAAGGCATTAATAATTATTAAAACATGTGTAATCTTCGGTTTTATTCTTCATATTTTATTATTTTTTTTAGTTCTGTTTTGTTGTTTCATTATACTTTTGTTTACTGTTATATCCATAAATCCTACATAAATATTTAATATTTATATAATTTATGGTTTTGTTTATAAATAAACAATAGAATAAATTACATAAATAATAATAAATATATATATATAGGTTTTATTATTCATAAAGCAATAAACAAAACTATAATAAAGCATCAAATGAATGAAAGTAAACTAAGAAAAAACAAAACATTGCATGTGCTTTTCTTTGTTTAAAAAATTTTAACTGAATATAATTACACTAAAAATTAAACAAATAATCAACTTATATATTTAAGAGTTATGAAAAGAAAAGAACATAAGGATTATAAAACAATAAAACAAAACTGAAAAAACAAAGAACATACAGTAGAACCTCCATTATCTGGACTTCCATTATCCGGATTTTCGATTATCCGGATTGTTCAAAATAAACAAAAATTTTACGAATTTGCTGATTTGCACTTGGCGAATTACGACACTGTTTATGTATGTGATGGAATGCATAACTTTTTTGTTTCAACAACGTCTCACCCAGCACAGTGGCTCGTAAACTCTTAAATATATTTTACGTAGTAATAAAAATATAACTTGACATACGTATTTATAAATAATTTATATTCAAATTACATCATTTCTATGACCAAGGGCGGCGTAAGGCATGGACGACGTGGGCCACCGCCT